TTTTTTGAAAAAAAAAGCCCATTGGGGGTATTTTTTAAAAAAAAAAAAAAAAAAAAAACCAGGTCTACTTTATGAGCTCAGTTATACAAAACATGGTTTGGAAACATATTTTGTTGGACACAAAAACTGGCTTATTCAACAAAAAAGTATAAACAACAATAGAAAGAGGCAGCATTAGAAATATCTTTATCCATGCATATAAAAAAATACTCCCTGATTGACTCTTATGCATGTGCATTATCTTTTTCTTCTTTGTATTGCTTTCTGAATCAACCCATAAACCCAAAAAGGTGCCAAAGTATCTCAGTGGTTTACAAACAAAATGGAGTAACTATATGCCAGGTGGTACATCTGCCAACTACAGAAAGGCTATTGTAACCACTTAGAACTTTAGCACATAAAAATACATCAGTAAAGATTTTATTTATTTAAAAATAATAATTATGTAGAAAAATGTAGCACAATTCGAAGAGATGTAAACCCATATCAAGGGGTACTTTTTATTCGATGACCAATACCATTGGGTACTTGGTAAACACTAGTTTTTCTAATTTTTTAGTAATGTTGAAAAACATTGACCTAGAAAGCTTCCTATATATTATAATAAGAATAACGAAGACATACAAAAATAGTTCTAATTAAAAGAAAAATGGTCTTACCTATTTGCATAACCCTGCCAAACACTGATGTGTTATCCACAGTGCTGCAGTTCCACCTCCTGTGTCTGAACTGGTACTGGCACTCTTTGATCCCAGTCTTTGCTCCCTCCCCAATATATTGCATATGGTCCTGATAGAGCAGGCACAGCTTCTTCTGCCCCTGGGAGAGCCCCGTTAACTGGCTGCACAGAGGCTGAGCCCCAATAATGTAAACCTCGAGCTGGACGGGGTTCATTGCCAGTGACCTGGAGAAAGACAATAGAAGTTCAGCCTCCAGTGAAAAGTACTTGCAATAGAAAGACTTTAGAATGAGCATGTGGCTGTAGTATTACAAGAATGATTAGACTTGTCAGAAGAGTGCAGACTTGTTACACAGTGCAGGCAGTTTACATAGTTTCAGTGTGTGGAACATTCTGATAATATTTGTATGGTAGATGATCATTCACTTAATTCATTCTTATACAGACAGCACACCAGGAGAGATACATTATATCAGTGGTAGGATGTTCAGCTTATATTTGTAGCTGTAAATGGTTCTTAAATCAACTGAGAAACAAAGAAGAAACAGCACTGCAGATATGATGCATTGTACTGGCCTCACCGAGAAACAGCACTGCAGACATGATGCATTGTACTGGCGTCACAGAAAAACAGCACTGCAGACCTAAAACATTGCATCAGTCCCACCAAAAGTATGTGCTGAAGGCATGATACTTTGTATCAGTCCCATAGGGAATGAGTACTGCCGGCATTATGCATTGTATCAGTCCTATAGAGAACAAAAACTGCAGGCTTGATGCATTGCATCAGTCCCTTAGAAAGTAAGAACTGCAGTCATGATGCATTGGATCAGTGCCATTGAGAACAAGTACTTCAGGCATGCTGCATTGCATCAGTCCCATAGGGAACACGTACTTCAGGCCTAGTGCATTGCATCACTGCCATTGAGAACAAGTACTGCAGACAGGGTGCATTGTATCAGTGCCATAGAGAACAAGTACTTCAGGCATGGTGCATTGCATCAGTGCCATAGAGAACAAGTACTTCAAGCATGGTGCAATGTATTAGTGCCATTGAGAACAAGTACTTCAGGCATGGTGCATTGTATCAGTCCCATAGAGAACAGATACTTCTCTCATGATGCATCAAGGCTGATTTGCAAAAGAAGTTGAGAATGTTGAATTAAAACAAACAAGAGGAAAGATTCACTTTAAATTAACCAATCATATGCAGATGAAATAAACAACATATTTTCTCTTTACATGATTGGAAGATTACATAAAATCCTACTCTGAGTGAGCATATACAACTTCTTTAAAATCAGCCTAAATTGTACCCTTGCCCGAGAGAACAAGTACTGCAGACAGCCCCATGGGGAACAGGTACTGCAAACACAATGTTTTGGGGTTACCTTACTAAAGAAAAAAGGGCTGTTCACGTACCAAAGGGAATATTTACTTTGGGAAGTGTGTGTTCACCTTGCAATGTGAATATTAGCAAACAAGATGGATTTGTATTCATTTTGAATACCCAATCATGTGCAATGGAAATAAAAATGCTAGCATATGATGTGGAATTCAAAGTGAACACAGCTTCATCCTAATCACCAACATTCACTTTCCAAAGTGAGCATTTACTTTGCTAGGTGAACAGCCTCTATTCCTTTATTAAATCAATGCCATTGCATCAGTCCCTAGAGAACAAGTACTGCAGACATGATACATTGGGGTTGATTCGAAGAATGTCACTTGGCTTAGTGAATAAAGAGAAGCTGTGTTTATGTTGAATATATAATCAGGTGAATGGAGATTAAAAACAAAGCTGCAGTTTATTCTCTAAGCTAAGAAAACATTCTATATTTGTCAACAGGGAAACGGCATTGTAGATGTGATACATTGTATGGGTCACATAAAGAGACAGCACTGCAGATGCGATACATTGCATCAGTCTCAAAGAGACAGCACTGCACATGTGATACATTGTATGGGTCTCAAAAGAGACAGCACTACAGCTGTGATACGTTGCATCACTCTCATAAGGAGACAGCACTGCAGCTGTGATACATTGTATGGGTCTCATAAGGAGACAGCACTACAGCTGTGATACATTGTATCGGTCTCATAAGGAGACAGCACTGCAGCTGTGATACATTGTATGGGTCTCATAAGGAGACAGCACTGCAGCTGTGATACAATGATACATAGTATACACTGCAGAAAAGATACACTGCATCACAAACTAGAACTTCCAAAGAGGTATAGATCATACTGACATCCAGGGAAGTCAATAGAGTTTAATTTACCAAGCTAGGGAAAAATCCTATACTTCCCAGCTAGCAGGGATACTGCACTCCTTACCTGATACAATAAAACAGCCTCAAAGAGAAACAGCACTGCAGGCATGATACATTGGGGGTTGATTTTCTGTAAGGTTAGAGCATATTCACTTAGCTAGTGAAACTGCATTTACTTTGAATAACCAATCATGTGCAAAGAAAACAAAAAACAGGACTTTTGCTTTTAAATGATTGGATGAGTGAAGCGAGCAGGACTTCACACCTCATTCACTATGTAAAGTGAACATACAGTTTATAAAGTAAACGTAGAGTCCTCTATTCATTTAATAAATCAACCCCATTGTATTACATATGGAAACAGCAGAAGAGGAATAACTCACTGTGGCGTTTCAGAGGTCAATATACAGGAAGAGATATTACCTATAGCAATCAGATTGTATGGGGACATTACCTATAGCAATCAGATTGTATGGGGACATTACCTATAGCAATCAGATTGTATGGGGACATTACCTATAGCAAACAGATTGTATGGGGACATTACCTATAGCAAACAGATTGTATGGGGAAATTACCTATATAGCATGTAATCAGATTAGAGGGGGTATTGCCTATAGCAATTAGTTAGCTTAGGCCTTTCATTCAGTGGGAAGATACAACAAAATACTCCATTCTACCAGCAGCAGTCCCCCATCTGCACCTGTTTTCACAAACCAGCCCTAATGTGTCAAAGTGTGAGATGTGTTGGAATTTGTAGAACAGAGGAGTGAAGAAATGTAATAAAGCAATAATCAAAATGTTGATCCTGTGTGAGGCACTCTGGTAATGTATATGGCTGCATAATGCCAGTATAAGCTGATTGATCCCACAGAAATCATAGTGGCACTAGAGGGACCACAGAGGACAATGCAGGAAAAGCTGTGATATGTATAAAAGGCTTCATTCATCATGGTCTGGATCTATATATTAACAGGGGCAGGGCACTGATATTTCACACATATAAGGTGCAGGCTATACCTAGATACATCAATGTGTTGCATATAACATGAGATTTTTAAACTCAGCCACACAAGACACACAGGTATTTGATTTCTGTAAACCAAGAAATGTCAAGCTGTCACTCTCAGCCAATCAGATTTCATGTTTTACTTTCCAGTGCCAGTCAGAGAATGAAAGCCAAAATCTGCATAGCCCTAGTAAGCAATGACCTTTCTATGGGTTGTCACATTTCAGACTCTTTGTATCCTTATAGAGCAGAAAAGACATACATTGTAACAATATGTAGAACAACTAGAGTGATAGCAGCACATTGGGGCTGATTCATGAAAATAAAGGGTTCTGATGAAGGATGAAGCTTATTTGATTGCCTGCAGTAACATCAGGTTAGGTCAGCTCAGTCTTACGGGAGTCAATCTTTAATATCAAACGATGGAACTTTCTGACAAGTGCACCAGACCCTATCCCCTCCACAATGTAAGCCAAGCATCTCAATGGGCTGTATTTAAACAACCAAAGCATATACATTTGCTCTTTCTTTAATCCAAAAACAAAGTGTCTGCTTACCACCATGAACTTGCTTCCACCATCACCTGAGAGATACAAGACAAGGTCAGCAGGACAACCAGCAAATATCTAGACACCATGGCTGCCCCAGGTACCCCAAAACTTCCAGACCTCAGCAAAAGTCCCAAGGCTGTCTGAAAAAAAAAAAAATCAACACACAATAAATACAAAATATAAAAAAAGTTTCTAATGTATCTTGTAGTAGCAAAGTTTATTTAGTCCCAAATATCTGGAATAAAACATTTTTAAACATGACATTAAGATAGAACTAAACGAATTAATTATAGAATTAAAGAAAAGCTATTTTTACAAAATCGATTGAATAATAATGATACAATGGCATAGGAGAACAATGTGCTTAATAGGCAGGGGGGGGGACGGACGGACTCCAGGAACATACTGTGTCACTAGACCTGTGTCTTAGCAGAGCTATAGAGACGGCTCCGACTCTGCACTGGGCAGCGCTATCGGTGCTGTCTGTGTCTCAGATCTCTGCGCTGCTGCTGTGTCTGCCGGCTGCCGCTGCAGGTATAATTTATGTGTGCTAATAGACTTTCAAAGGATGTCCAAACCCTGAAACTAAAAAGTACTAACGAATAACATTTGGATTAAGCAATCCTCCCAGCTGCCAGTGTCAGCCCGCACATCTGGTACTCAATTTGAAGGTCCCTGTTCTGCTAAAGACACTTCTACTCCATATACATCGCACAGATAATGGGGGGGGGGAGGGGGGAAGAGTCTTTTCTTCCTATAGTTTCAACAGAGGTAAAAATATAAAATTATAGATAGTTTATGAAGCTGAAAACTGTGACCACTATTACCATTGATATTACCATCGGAGAAGAGATACAGTATGTGCGGGAGATAAACATAGAATATTTGGATATTTTTTTAGCCCACACATCTGTAGCTCTCAGTAAATTTAAATATATATATATATATACACACACACACACTCACCTATAGTCACAATTATTACTGCTATGTAGGAAAATAAATGAAGGGACAAAGATCTACA